CTCAGTCATTGGTTGAGTCCAGAAAATTCAAAACAGATGACTTAACATATTATTAACTCACAGGACCATAATTTGGCACTCTCAAGCTCATTGAATACATAAAATTCCATATGTTTTGTGGCAAATCCCAAATAATCAATTGAAATGAACAAGTTATAACAGTGCAATGAATGATCAACTACTGGAATTAGAATAACAATTTGGTCCAACCAAAGCAAAAATAATTTACACAGAGCAAGATAAGCAGAGAAATGAGTGACATATTGGGGTGGGGGGGGGGGAAGGGGCAGCCTGAAAATTTCAAATTCTAATATAATTTAGATATTTTCTTTTGATAATCTGTTTCTTACCCCTAAAATTTTATAAGTTCGCCTCCAACATAAAATCCAGGTCGGTCCGGGGAAGCAAAGGGACTTACCTCGCATGAAAGAAGCAGTAGATGATGTCCTTGATGGTTGCAAAAAGGGAAAACCCGAAATGCCTAGAAAAGAAATAGGCTGATTTGGGTGTACATGCAGAAGATAAGGCATCTCCACAGTTTTGATTTTTCCTGAGGAAAAAAAAGGAGATAAAATAAGTTCTTTCCTTTGAACACAAAGTGCTTCATTCTGGCCACAAAACATGAACTATCATCTCTTCCTCCACTAGCAGATTCTAACAAAAAAATTTCTAATCAATTCATAAAATTTCAACAACTAACAAAACAATCTTAAGGTTCCAAAAATGGCAGTAACTGTTTCCAAAAGTAATTTTCTACAATCTACAGGATATTTAGAGAATTCACAAGCTTCAGGACTGGAGGACTGCCAAATAATTGCCCAACAAAATGGACAGAAAATATCAATAAAATTGTTAATTAAAAGCCTCAAAACTGATTTCAACAATGAATATAATCTGTTAGAGATGGAGAAATTGTTAATCATCTGTTTGTTTATCAATAAAAGAAAAGAAAAAAGAAGAGAGGAAGCATGGAAGCAAGACAAATACCCAGATGCAGGTAAGCCTTGAGGGAAAGCTGGAAACTTGGGGCAACAGCAATGGTTTCAGTACGAAGAAGATGAGATTGTCTGGCAGAATAAAGTCTCAGGTGTGTTTAGATAGAGTGGTGTGGGTTTTGATATTATTGACAAAACCATGGGTAAGATTGTCACAAAGGTTAAAGTAGTGAGGCTATAAAAGAGAAGACGCCATATAATATCCATTTTTTTAACAATTCTTATTTAGGAGAAGATTGAAATGACCATCCAGCTCAGTTTGTAGAGCACAAAGTTCTTAATTTTGAGGTGGTGAGATCGAGTTTCACGGAAGACATTTCATAATTTGGAGGTCTCTTACGGAAGTTGCTCTCAACCTAGTGTTAGGGGTAGTCTACTATCTTACCTCCCTCTTACCCCATACATATGGGAAAAAGAGAAAGCCATTTTTTTTATTTAAGAGAGGACGTTCAAGAATTTTAATTTTATTAAGTATTTAACTACAATATTATAAAAAAATTAATTGTCTAGTGAGAATTTTTTATAATGTACTCTTGAGATTATTTACAATATCGATTTTTATTAACTAAATATAATAGACGTGAATTATTATTATATCTAAATTTAATATTTATAAAATTCAACATTTCATTTTATTTTACTTTTATAAACAGTAGTGAGGGATTATATCATGTATTTTTTATAATATTATATTTTAATTATTTTAAAATATTATAATGCTATTATACATGGTGTGACGTGCATAATCTTTTATATTTGAGCGAACTGTACTTGACCGCTGCAGTGACGAGGTTACGTGACCGCTATAATATCACTTAAATTTATGGTGAGGGTTTGTTTTGGACCCTAAATAGATAAATTTATGGTAAAATTATACTTTGATCCTCCCTTTTTTAATTTTGAACTAATTTGTAAATTTGTATAAGTTGCTGTGAGAAATTTAGTAGTAATACTTTTAATTTAAACCTCATCAATTGTATTAGTTTAATTATCTAAACCACCTTTACATTAATTATTCATAAAAGAAAAGTTTACATTAACAATTCTAATCAAATATTATTTTTTCTAATTAGAAGTTTTCATATGATTTTGCTATGAGTACAATAAATAACATTCAAATTTAAATATTTTTAAATAAATATTTGTTGTCTTATCAAGCCAATACTGAATAACGAAAAGATATTTTGTACGAAACCCAAAGTCTAATTTGAAACTGTATTTTAACATAAAATTTGTTTTTAATATTTTTAATATATATATAAATATAATTCCCTTACACAATGTAAAACTCTTAGTCTTACACAGATTTAAGATCATTTGACAGTGGCGGATCCATAAATTTAAGAATGGAGATCCAAAATTTTAATTTTCTTTTCTTAAAAATAATGGGTATGCAAAAATTATAATTTTTTTCTTTTTTCCTTAACATATTAAGTTAAATTTAACCAATTTTCCAAAATAATGGGATGCACTTGGCCCCTATGGGGGCTTAGTGCATCCGTCACTGCCGTTAGATAAGTGAAAATAGATGACTGAGATTAATTTATTATTTTTTCAGTGAATATCTTATCATTTCTTACTATTAATATATATATGTTTAAGTCTTCTTAGTGGTAAAGAGGATGTTATTTTTCTAGAGTTTTTGGGTTCGAACAAATGTGTCTACAAGATATGTGTATTATCAATATGTTAAGAAATTATGAATAAATATTACATTATAATCACCTTAAATTATTCAATAGATATATTTATAAGTATCTCATATTAAAATCTTGAGTTCATTGAATCACACATCGTTAAATTATAATCTTCATTTTAAATAGGTTTTTAAAATTTTAAATAATTTACTTTCATCTCCAAATTAGTCTCTCATTTTAAATTAGTCTTTAAACTTTTAAATATTCTAATTTTATCCCAAAATATGACCCTCATTCTAAACTAGTCTAAATTTTTTTTAATCTTCCAATTTCATCCCCAAATTCCATACATGTGATTAGTTTCAAGCATAATTTAATTGAACATTATTTTTTCAAACATAAAATAATATAACTTGACATTATGATTTTATTAACAAAGAATATGATTAGCATATATTGATAGTTTGAGATGAAATTGAAATGTAAAAAAGTTTAGAGACCAATTTAGAATGAGGGTCATAGTTTGAGAATGAAATTGAAATATTCAAAAGTTTAAGGACTAATTTAAAATGAGTTATAATTTAAGGATAAATTAGAATATTCAAAAGTTTATACACTAATTTAGAATGATAATCATAGTTTAAGAATGTATATTATAATTAACTCTATATATATATATTGATAAATATGAGTGAATATAAAATAGTATCTATTCAAAGACTCTCAATTCTTTGACAATAAAAATTCATATCCCCACACACATGGTGCTCAAACTCAAGACTTTAAAAAATAACAACAAATTCCTTAATTACTAAGTTTTGTTGATGCTCAATTTTTTACTTTAAATTTATATATGTACCATTCTATTTTTTCAAATATGTATGTACCCTTCGTCTCTGGCAGATTGGCAGTCTGGCTTAGGGCTGTAAACGAGTTGAGCTCGACTCGACTCGAAAACTCTGAAATAGAGCTCGACTTGACTTGAAAACTCATGAATCGAAATTTTTTAAGTTCGACTTGAACTCGAAACCATGAATTGAAGTTCCAAAAAACTCGAAATAAAAAAAATCTTAAACTTAACCTAATTAAAGCTTAAACTTAAACATGAATCTTAAATACATTTATATTGTATTTTTTTTAAAAATCAACACATAATTATTAATAATTTATTTTAAAAACTAAATTTTTAATATATTATTTTTGTGAGTAGCTCGTAAACTTTTCGAGTTGAGTATAAAGTAGTTTGTTTCTACTCGTTAAGAATTTAAGTCAAGTTCGAGCTCGAGTCAAGTCTATTCGAGTTGAATATTGATCAAACTTTGATCGAGTTGATCTCGAATAACTTACTATCTAACTGTCTCATTTACCGCCCTAATTTGACTGATCGGTTGATTTCACTGCAGTCTTGCGTGTCCATGCAAATACAGTATAAATTCATTTATTATTTATGAATACATATTAATAAATATATTTTTATAATATAAATTAAAAAAATGAATTCATTTAATAATTTAAACAACTCAAATCAAAATCAACCGACTCCAATTTTATACAAATATAACTCATTAATTTAATATATTTTAATAAATAAAAGGATAAAAAATATATAAATGATCTGCCGATTATAGGAAAATGCTTGGCTAAGTCTCTTAACTATTAAAAGTTACAAAATGATCCCTCAACTATAGGGTGTTGATTTGTTGAGTCTCCAACTATTAAAAATTACAAAATGATCATATGACAATTCATATGTTCTAAACTCGTCATTTTTCGAAAAAATTGACTAATGTTTGAGCTGGACGTTAACCTATTAACTGTGATATGATAAAAGTTGATCTCATAACAGTTTAAGTTGTATTTTGTAGATTAACTATTCGTTTACATTATGTCGTCGAGTTAGTGCTTGAAAGCAACGATGATATAGACATCATTAAAATATGGTTTTATCAAATAACAATCAACAAGTTAACATCCAACTCAGGTGATCATTGATTTTTTAACGGAAAAGAAAGAGTTTGGAGCATATGAATAATCAGGTGATTATGTTATAATTTTTAATAATCGGAGAATTTAACCAAATTACGTCCTATAATCGATATATTATTTTATAACTTTTAATAATTAGGATACTCAACTAAACAATACCTATACTCATGATCATTTGTATATTTTACCTTAAAAAAACTACACAAGGAAACCAGAGGCTAAAAAGTAAATGAAGGAACAAACAAGAAGAGTTTTGGAAATTGAAACAGGGAATGAGTAGGGTGGCGAGAACGCATGGTGGAGAGCCAAAGATGCCAGCTCCAAGTAGCTGTGCTTTAACATCAAACAGCTGTTTATCAGTCAGAAACAAACCCATTGCCCCTTGTCCTCAATACCCTTTTGGGCTGCTTATTTAATATTAACAACAATAATTGCATCTACTCTAAAACCCTAAACTAAAGCACTAAAAATGTCGGTTAACACAACATTGCTAAAGTGGTAGTATCAAATTGTTTCAGTCGAGAATTTAAGGTATCGGAAATACAACAATGCAAAATACTCATAATTATGTATCTGATTTTTTCTTTCCGAAAAATACCTGTAAAACCCCATCGGAACCTCCAGCCACAAGTGTGCACTGGTCCTCATTGACTTGTCTCCAGCACACACTGCTGACGAACCCATGGTCGAACCTATCTCTGCCCATTGGCTCGAAACCATGCACCCAAATGGGCTCACCCCATCGCTTGTCATAGACAAAAACTTGGTTATCTTCTGATCCGCACCCGAGCAACCCTCCATGCCTCCAAACTGATAGCCCCACAAAGCTTCGACTGTTTACGTGCCCTTTGTATGTTCTAATCAACCGTGAATCATCCACGTTCCATAGTTTCAAGCACCCGTCTGTGCTCGCCGTAACCATTGTTCCGGCATCGAGGAATCTGACGTACGTCACCGTTTTGGTATGTCCGTCGAACGTGTATACGGGCTCCGGTATTCTCCGCACGTCGTAGGCGTAGGCCTTCATGTCGGCGCATCCGACGGCTACCAATGCATCTCCGAATGGGTCAAATTCGACGCAACAGACTGAACTCCGTGCCGCCGTGGGCTGTACCTTCGCCACACATTGTCCTCCTTCGCTGCAACGTGTGTCCCAGATTTGTATGGTTCCGTCGTCCGAGCCGGATGCTCCGAGGAACGGGTGCGAATGGGAGTAGTCCACACTCCAAACCCGCCTCCCGCTGTGCTCGTCGCGTTCGAAGATCGAAAGCTTCCTCTCTAGATCATATTCCGTGACGACGCCGTCGTAATCTCCGGATCCCAAGACGCGGCCACCGGAACCGGTTTTCCATCTAAGACTACTGAGCTTAGCCGGGGTACAGATGTAATAATCACACGCGTTAACATGGTCCAGAAAGGCAATGCTTTGCGTCTCCTCCTGTGGCAACAAAGGATTCAAAGTGTAAATCCTAATCTTTCTCGCAATTCCGCCGGTTGCTAAGATGGTATTAGAAGGGTCGAATTCGATGACGCCTAAAGTGTCGGAGACGGTGGCGTTGGCGGTGGATGAGATGACGGTGGAAAGAGAAAAATCCCAGTCACTACGAGCGGTTGATAGTTCTTCCTGGCCGGGGACGGCGGGGGGAGGGAATCCGGCGGAAAAGTTGTTGTTCATGGTCCATTCAATGGAAAGGGAGGCATAATATGAGAGGATTTTGAACCATGAAACCAACGAAAGGCTCCCATACACCTAACCAAAGCGCAACAAAATTGCGGTGCGGATAAATACGTTAGCTGCTACCATATTGGATTTACCACTTTTATGCTCCCTCTTCTCTTCTATTACAATAATGCCATTGCTTAAAATTATTATTATTAGTTATAAGGATAAAATATACAAATGATCATCGATTACAGGACTATATGACGTTGCTTTGTTGAATGATCATTCGACTATTAAAAGTTACAAAATGGTCTCTTAATTATAAGGTGATTTTTTAATCCCTCAATTATTAAAAGTTATAAAATGACCACCTGACTATTAATATATTTCAAACTCGTCATTTTCTGTTAAAAAATTTAATAACCATCTAAGCTGAATGTCACCTATTGATTGGGGTATGATAAAATTTGATTCCAAGACTATTTGAGTTGTATTTTGTGGATCGACTCTCTGTTTACTTTATATCGTTGAGTCAATGCTTGAAACATTATATCATCGAGTCAATTCTTAAAAGCAACATTGATGAAAATAGAATAATTAAAATATAATTTTATCATATTTCAGTCAATAATTTAACGTCAAGATAAGATGACCATCAATTTTTCAACAGAAAAGGATGAATTTAAAACATATGAATAATCATGTGACCATTTTGTGACTTTTAATAGTCATGAGACTCAACAAAATAATGCCCTATAAACGAGGGATAATTTTATAAGTTTTAATAATCGAGGGATTCAACAGATCAATGCCCCTATAGTTGGGGACCATTTGTACACTTTACCCTTATTTATAATTATTCTCTCTTTTAAAATAATGAGTTATAAACTCATCAAGTGACATCGATGGTAAAAGAGAATGTTATTCTTTTTTAAAGGTTCTGGGTTTGAGTAGCTACGTCTGTGGGGTGTGCACACATTATCAATATGTTAAAAAAATTCTAAATAGATATTACCTTGTAATCACTCGGACTAATAGAAAAATAGTAAGTTATATGTTGATATCTATTTGAAAATAAAAAATGACATGTCATGCCACATCAACATTTTTCCTTAAATTTTTAAATGTGGGTACCAAATTGAAACTTAAACTAAACGCTAGGTATGGTTTTGAAAAAAATCAAGTTTAGGTACTAAAACGAAACAAAAGTGATAGTTTAGGTACTAAACACGTAAGATACCCTTTTAATATTCATTTAATAAAGAGATTTTAGTTAGTAATGTGTTTCAGTGTATCACATTAATGATGTATTTTGATATGGTAAGTTGAGTGTAGAATTTTCCTATTGAACACTTTAGTTTGGAAAGTCGCCAAGAAATTGGACTTCTAAGTATAATTGTTTGTCACTACATAAATGTAATATGTTTATAATATTGTTATAATTAGTGAGTTTTATTATAAATTGAAGTACTTATACAGTTATGCGTGTAATTAAATTTGATAATTTTAAATATTTATATTTTTAATTAATAAATATGTAGTGCTTTATTTATGTCTATCTGTAGTTTGCAGATGATCTCCTGATATTCTCCGATGGAAATATTGACTCAAATAGAAATTTGAAAAGGGTTCTTAAAGTTTTTGAAGCTACTTCGGGATTGAGTCTCAATTTGAGTAAGTCAAAACTGTTGGGAGTGAACATTGAAGATAATCGTATCTCGAATTGGGCGGAAACTGTTAAGTGTGGGTGGGATAGCTTTCCAACTATGTAGCTCAGTCTTCCCGTTGGTTATCCTAGGAATTCTGTAGCTCTATGGAAACCAATTGTTAACAGATTTCATGAGAGATTGGATGGGTGGAAGAGTAAGCTGCTCTCTTTTGGTGGGAGGCTTACGTTAGTGAAGTCGGTTTTGTCGAACCTCTCGATTTATTATTTGTCTCTGTTTCAAATGCCTGTGTCAATGGCTTCAAGTTTGAATAGCCTTGTGGCTAATTTTCTTTGGGGTGCAAAGTCTGACAGGGCTATACATTGGGTCAAATGGAGCAAGGTTTGTAAATCACGAATTCAAGGCGACTTGGGGATAATTGACTTAAGGGTAAAAAATAGAGCATTGCTTAATAAATGGATCTAGAGATTTGGGTGTGAAGAATGATCCCTTTGGAAGAAGGTGTTGATAGCTAAGCATGGGTACGATGCTCGTTCATTGATTCCTAACCCAATTTCAGATAGAAAGATGTCGTGGGTTTGGAGAAGTATTGTTCACCCTCAGTCGGGGTCTAATGCTAACTTTGTTAATGATATAAGAATTATTGTTGGTGATGGGGGTTCAGTTGACTTTTGGAATGATTATTGGACTTCTCTATCGTCGCTCAAAACTGCATTCCCAAGAATCTTCAGTTTGGTTGTTAAAAAAGAAGAAAAAGTGAGGGTTTTTTGCTCGAGAGTGAACGGTTGTTGGGAGTGGAATATTGAGGTTAGAAGATCACTTTTCGTTTGGGAATGGGACATGTGGGTGGATTTCATGCAAATTCTTAATAGTGTTATGTATCGTCATTCCGGTCTTGATCGTTTGTCTTGGGTAGGGGCTGCAAATGGTTTGTATTTGTCTAAATGTTTTTGTTCATTGAGCAACAGTGAAGAAAATGAGCCTGAGAAGGTGTGAAAGATTGTTTGGACAAATCTTGTTCCACCAAAAGTTGAGCTATTTGTTTGGAGAATGGTATCCCAAAAGGTTCTGGTTCTAGTGGAACTTGTTAAACGGGGCATGGTTGATTCTAACACATGTTTGTGCATATTTTACAGAAAGAATATGGAGTCAATTAACCATCTCTTTTGCCACTGTGATGTTTGCGAGTTGGAATTTGCATTTTGTATGCTCGCCTGATGTGAAATCCTTTCTCATATCTCGGGTTGGGTGCTCGGTTTCAAGGTCAAGTATGAAACTATGGACAATATCTTTCTTTGGTCTATCGTGGGCTATTTGGCAATGTAGAAATGATGTGATTTTTAACAAACGTAGAATGTGTGTTAATCATATTCTAGAGTCGACTAAGGCTATGATTGTGTTTTTGTTCAAGTGCAAATACCCTGGTTTATGTCTTTCTACATTTGATTTTTCCAGTTATCCGAATGGGGTTATTTCTTTCAGGTAGTTAGCAAGGGTTGTGAGTCCATACAGTTTTTTTGTATGTCGTGTTGTTGTTTTGTGTTGCTTGGTTGGGGTAGTTGATGGCTGGTTGTTGCTATCTTGTTGTTTTGCTTTGACTGATTGACATTAATTGCCTCCAATGTGTATTCGATGTTACTGTTACAAGGTCTTGAGGCAAACAATCATGTTTCGTGCTGCCATGATGATAGTGCAAAGACGGGTTGTGGGGCGGTTAAGGCTGGTGCGCAAATGGGGTTTGGCTTTTGTACCTTTGTTGTGTACTGTTGGGATCGATTCCTTTTCCCTTTTCCTTTTTTTTTTTTATCTATTTTAGATTGCAGTATTTATTGTATGCTGGTTGAGGTATGTTTAGAATCGTGTGGTTGTTTTGTATCATTTGGCATTTGATTGGGGTACTTGTTTTCCTCCAAATAAGTTAGGTAAGTTTTTAACGAGGTCCGTTCAATGTTGTTTTATCTCTGTATGATTGGTGCACTTTAATAACATGCAAGACTCCCTTTTCAAAAACAAAATTATACTTTGTCAATTAAATTCGATTTGAGCATCAAAACTATCTTTTCTTAACCTCTAGTATTTGCTTAGTTACCAAAAAAATTAAATAAAAATAGTTTATATTTTTTTCATAGAAAATCTTAAAGAAATTAAAAATCAAATGCTTTTTATGAGAATAATATTGAGTTCTAATGAAAAATAATAATTGGTCCTTCGTTAATAAGACTCGTCATAAATTAGTTTGATTATTAATAGAAGATAATAAAAGCGGTTAATTAGGATTTTGTGTTCATTATAACTCAATTGATTTCTCTTTTCATTTTTTTCCATAAGAGACTACAAATATGCTGATGCAATGTGGATTCAATGTTTCGATTATTCTTTAAGCTTTAATTTATTAATTAGCCTGTATGCTTAATTTTTAATTAATCATCGATATCCGATTTATTGATTAACCAACTCAAATCGAGTTCTACAAAGATTTATTATAGGACGTTTCTCACATTCTAATTTACTTCATTCGCAAACACCATGATTTAAATCTCTAACTTTACTTAAAAAATCTAGCGCCTCATCCCACTAGACCAGATGATTGTTGCTATTATGCTATATGCTTATTAATTAAACATGTATATATATTTTAATTAACGTTACTATGAAAAAAATAAGAGAAAATAACCTCAGTGACCAAAAATCCCATATAATATACGATTTTAACCAACTTTTTCCGGATTTGCCAAAATGACCAACAAAATCGCAATGCGATCGCTAATTCGCAACGCGATCTCCATTATCGCAAATCAGTTTCCAGATTCGCAACGCGATTATGACTATCGCAATGCGATTTTCCAATTTCGCGTTGCGATTTTCCCAATTCGCAATGCGAATAAGTAAATCGCAATGCAAATTTGGAAAATCGCAATGCGATACTGACTATCGCAACGCGATAATACAAAATCGCAACGCGATACTGACTTTCGCAACGAGATTCTGACTATCGCAACGAGATAATACAGAATCGCAATGCGATTTTCAAAGTTCGCAACAGGTTTTAGTTTCGCAACACAAATTTTTTGTGTATATATCTACGCAGCAGCAACAACTCATAACCTAAATCCCTAAATCGAAACTCATTCCATCTCCATCTATCACTCTCTCCGGCGACATCCGTTCCTATATCCGTTCCTACATCCTTCCCCACCCGGCAACAGGTCTTAGTTTCGCAGCTCGTTTGTTTAGTAAATTAATTTACAACCATGAAATTATCTAATGTTGATCATGTTTGGATAGATTTGTGTTTTGGAGGGTCATGGGAGAATGTTCATGGTGTTTTACAATATATGCCTTTACCCATGAATCTTCAACTAAAACTGTCATTAAAAAAGTTAACTTATGAAACTCTAATGTTA